ACCCCCCTCAGTAGAGATTTTTTTGCGGATGAGAGTGAGAGAAAGAGAGATAGCTGTACGTTGACACCATACCGTGAAAATGAGCGGAGAGAAAGCGGTCGGCCTCTCGAAATACGTCCGCGGCTTGAAAGAGAAACGACCGCTTTCCAACCAAAATTCACACCGATCTGGCCCATTGCCTGAGTGCGATTATTCTAACGAAATTCTTTCGATTCTTTCTTTTCATGTGCGATTCCCCTAAACTATCGAACCTGCCTCCATGAAAAATCCATGAAAAAATCCAATGAAACAATGTACACAATCGCCTGCTACTACAGGACTAGTTGTGACCTACAGTAAGTCTTCTCCAAACACCTCAAGTTTTGTTTTTTAGGAACTCAATTTTGTGTAGATTATTTTTGCAACCCCTGTACATGCATTACACTCTCAGTCTAAGTCAGACTATACGCTTTTGCATACACTCACACACGCACACACACGCATACACACGTCACACGCACCCACCAAACACACGTACGCGCGATAACAATTTTGCACGAAACCTAATTTTCTTAGATACACATTACGCACGCCCGCGTATGTGTGCGCATTGTGCTTGCGTGTGTTTGTTGTATTGCATTGTTCGCGTTTCAATTGCATGCGTATTTTTTTTAGTGTGTCGATGTTAACACCGTATGTGCTTTTCACGTTTATACTTGATTCGCGAAACATACCAGAAGGAACATAAGAGACACAAGTGGAGAATAGAGTTACGCTTAGAAGGAGCGTGTCTCTCTGATCGGCGCGTTGATTTCTTAACACCGGAAATAGTTTTCACTTGGAATCCGTTCATATATTTTCATAATGACCTCATTTGCCGAACGAAGCAAGGTATCTCTGTGCCATTTCTCGCATCACGTCATTAAAAGAAAAGGAATTCATCATCGTACACCCGCAGCTTCTTTTTTGTTTTGCTGTTTGTCAATTAGTGTGTTGGTTGTTGTGTTGTTCACAGTGCACTGCAAAATGGACAGTTCACCGATTGTGACAACCCATACCAACAACAAGAGCAAGTCCTCGCGTAAGTCCTTTGTTTCCAAAAATAATCTCCGGTCACACAAAATTCTCGCGATCGAGGGAAAAGAAAAAACGCCGGACACGTCCGTACAGTATATATCGAGGGCATAACCGTACGCACCAACACTCGTATACACTCACTCCGAGTTCTCCACGTTTATTATAGTTTAGCTTTAGTTACGCTACGCTCCGTTCTGTTCTTTCTTCACTGTCCTAGATATGCGATATGGATGAAAAGTTCGGAAGTAATAAAGCATGCCGCGGCCCCGTGTTTCGCACGCAATCGCATCGATGTTCTTGCATCCCATTTTTTTTTATCTTATCTTTCATTTCTCTTCGGGCGATCGTGCCCCGCGATCGCTTCGTCTTCTCACCACGATGCAAAACACTTGGATGTTCCCAGACGGCTCAAATAGAAACCAAATTGGTTTGAGTAAGGGAGATTGGAGACAGGAAAGAAAACTGTTTGAATCGCCTGAAGCATCCGGGACGAGCGGTGTAAAAAAGAGATGGCTGGCTTTTGCGGGATGCGTCGCAATGACGTTGATAATAATTTGGCATGCAAAACATTGTGCATCTTGGCATGTGGATTGGCTAGGCGCAAATGTTTCCTGGCGCACATATAGACACCGCCGTTCGACATTAAACAGACCAGATTTCTAAGCTAGATAAACACATACAAGCAAAAAGAAATGACTCTTTCACTAAAGTGGGACTGAGAAAAAAAAAGAGATATATTTTAGAGTCCACCTGCGTTTGGCTTTCTTGGTTGTGTCTTGTTTTTTGGAAATTTTAAACTCGCTGACGAGAGAGAATGTGTGAGTGTTTCTTTTTTGCGGGATTTGACACGGTTGGCCGAGCGATAGAGCGAATGTTGGGACGCGCGGTCTAGAGTTCTGTCAAAATTTCGCACCACCGGCCCTCGTGTTAATATAATGAACTCTGTTTTCGTGACGTTGCAGTGACCACGCCGCTGTTCACACCTGCAGTGGGGGTCGCCGCGGCGGGCGCAGGCGGCGCAGGCGGTGCAGGTGCAAGGAGTTACGTGGATCCTCACACCTATGAGGACCCGAATCAGGCGGTACGCGAATTCGCCAGGGAGATAGATGCTGGATACATCACGATAGAAGCTATCATAGGTGCGATGTTCTGTTTCTATTATTATACGATATCATCGAGCGATTATTAAATAACGTAGTTTTTAAGTACCTCGATGATACTCTTGATAATTATTTTTTTTGCGGTCACAGGTGGTGGAGAGTTTGGCGACGTCTGCCGAGGGAAGCTAAAATTGCCACCCGACGGACGAACGGAAATAGATGTGGCCATAAAGACCCTGAAGCCGGGCTCCGCAGACAAGGCCCGCAACGACTTTCTGACAGAGGCGTCGATAATGGGCCAGTTCGAGCACCCGAACGTGATATTCCTGCAAGGCGTAGTGACGAAAAGCAATCCGGTGATGATCATCACGGAATTCATGGAGAACGGTAGCTTGGACACCTTCCTGCGCGCGAACGACGGCAAGTTCCAAGTGCTCCAGCTGGTAGGCATGCTGCGCGGCATCGCCAGCGGTATGCAGTACCTCGCGGAGATGAACTACGTGCACCGCGACCTCGCCGCGAGGAACGTGTTAGTCAACGCCGCCCTGGTTTGCAAGATCGCCGACTTTGGTCTCAGTAGAGAGATCGAGAGTGCCACGGAGGGGGCTTACACGACCAGGGTGAGCGATAGATTTCAGTTGCGCGGTCCAAATTATTCGAAGCCAGTGGCGTACACGAGGCTCGAACATACCTGTGATTTCCTGCCTAATTAATCTATCGTTCGTATTCAGGGCGGTAAAATCCCGGTACGGTGGACGGCACCGGAGGCGATAGCGTTTCGTAAATTCACGAGCGCTTCCGACGTTTGGAGCATGGGTATCGTGTGCTGGGAGGTGATGTCGTACGGCGAGAGGCCGTACTGGAACTGGTCGAATCAAGATGTGATAAAGTCGATCGAGAAGGGCTACAGGCTTCCAGCGCCGATGGACTGTCCGGAAGCGATCTATCAGCTGATGCTCGATTGCTGGCAGAAAGAGCGCACCCATCGGCCGACCTTTGCCAATCTCACACAAACCCTGGACAAGCTCATACGAAGTCCGGACACGCTGAGAAAGATCGCCCAGAACAGGTAAAAGCGTCCACTTGTCACTCATAATCGCCAAATGTCGATATAGGATTGCGAGACTTTGTGATTGTTTAGGATATATTAGTCGCAAAAATGGTATTAGGAAATCCATCTTACGGATCGAATCTCTAGTGAATCATATAATTGTCATCGTTTAACATGAATCAAAGAACTGCGACGGAATGCGTAAGATATAATTGGCACACAACGAATGAAATTTGCTTTAAGTGCTTCGAGCGCATATCATGTTTTTTTTTGTTTTCATTGACATTGTCTCAACTGTTCTTTTCCTTTTCATTTGTCTCCCGTTGAGTCGCTCGTTCATTAATATCTTAATAAGAAATCACGCCGCATGCTACGTGACTTATATATCGTGTCCATAAATTAATTTCTCTCGACAGCTAATAATTATTTTCATTCATTCGCCGAAACGCTCACGCGTGGATCACGCTACATCCGTTTCACGCCACTTAGAATGGGATTTGGCATAGTGGCTCATTGATGTATGACGTCCCGCACAAGCCTACAATCGTATACACGTATATGATGTGCCCGTGCATATGTATGTACTCCGAAGGAAGGCTAATGTCTGCATACTCTCGTACTCGCGCCGCCGTGACATCTCGACCTGATTGGCATTACTGGAAGCAGGCATACACGTACTGGACTACCATTATACGCACTTGCTTTTTATGTTCGTGCTTTTTCTGTCTTTTTTTTTTCAAGTATATGTATTCTCTCGACATATCCCCTAGGCATTAACAGTCGTCAAAATTCATTTCTACTGCGTCTATGTCACGTTTGTTTTCCGACACGCGTGAGAAGAGAAGAGAGCAAGACAATCATTTTGGATTCGAATCGAAAAGAAATTGGAGCCTTTCTCTCTTGCTTCTCGCGATAGCATACACTTTCCGCACGACGTCTCGTCGCGAGCTCTTGATGTCGCAGAGTCACATTTCCACCTCGCGAACGGACGCTGCTTCACGCTTCAAAATGCACTTGGCCGAGCGAGGTTTCCAGAGTTAGCTGGCGGGGAAATTAATTTATGGACGAAAGTCTACGTCATCAGCTGCGTAGAACACTTTTACCGCGCTCCGGGGACTTGATTCGAGACCACGCATTATGCGACGACTTGAATAGAGCTTTAATTGCTTTCGCCGCTTATCGTTTCTACACTCCTTGAGTTTATGGCTCGCATTTCAGTTATTCTTCATAAGATGCAGCTATATTTAAGAGGGGGCTAAGTTTATACCTTGCGTTGCTTTCTCTTCGATGGGTTTCGACAAAATTGAAGTTTACCTACGATCCAGTAGAGTGTTTATAAAATATTCACGAGACAAAAATTCGTTCTCAAGGTGTCTTAACGTCGCGTTTTCTACGAGAGTCGAAACATGTATAACCGCGACGAAATCGCACAAGCCACCTCCCTCATATTCCGAATATTCCATTGGTATGGACAAGACAGTCCGTTATTTTATTACGTTATTCCGCGCGCCTCTCGTTCGCGGAACAGCATATCGGTTCTTTATCTTTATGCCAATGGGGCCGCGATATTCGCATTTTGGAAGTCTCGTTGGTTTTCTCTCCTATTCCTTCGTTCCGCCTCTTTTTTCCCCCCTTGGGCTAATTCTTTGTGCTTTTGGTTTTGTGGTGTCCTTTGGTACCTGACTACGAACTACCGCAACTGCAACGCAACTGCGACAACTGTCGTCCACGACAACTACAACAACAACTACAACAACCGCCGCCTACAGCGTGAGGCCGCCTGCACACAATCCGTACTATGTCACGAGCCACACGGCTGCCGCCCAGGCTGCGGCGGCGGCGGCAGCGGCGGCGGCGGCGGCGGCTGCGATGCCACCAGGCCCGGCCGCGAGCACGGCGAGCCCGTTCGTAGACATAGTCGGCCATCAGGCCCATCAGCATGCCCAGTCAGCGATTGCCGTTCCAGTAATGCCACCAGGAGCCGGCCGTAGCTTACACTATCACACACACTCAGCGACACACGCATTGCCACACCAACAACCACCGCTCACCTATCCCAACTGGGTGCCGTTCTCCCATTTCGGCTGAGAATGATTACGCTCGAATTACAACGAGCAAGAGCGTCATTATCATCAGCATCGTCTCCGCCCGTCTTTCTAGCCATCAGAACTAACGCCTGGCATTTAAACCGGACGTAATCTCAAAAGACTGCATTCTATATCATATACGATTCGCATTATCTTTTACGATCGCGTTAGTCGTAGGGAAATCGTAGTCGCTCTTCCAGCGAAGTAGTAGAAAATAGTACGATCCAAGTCGTGTCGGACGGAATAGCAGATGTGACGAATATAGAGGTATAATGCAGCCGATAATACGTTATCGGAGTGCTATAGTGCTCTGTGTGTACAAGAGTAGTACCGTCGTAAAGGAATCTCTTCTTCAGTCTTTTTACTACGAATTATTGACAAACGCGAGGATGTAGCGTAGATGTATATGTTAGACGATATACAGAGAAGTTTTCTCTACGTTGAACTAAGCAATAAACTTTACGTACAGAGTTAGAGCATATATTATCGATTGAAATTGAAGCGGGATATAAATCGAGAGTTTAAGAGTGTTTCCAAATTTTATCAAGGATAAATTCACCCGTCGAGTAGCAATATAGGGTTAAACGCGAGCTTAGCGAGTAAGAGGCGATTAAACGTGGTGTGCAAGAGCAACTAGATCTTTCAGATGTTCTCATAATTCTATATTAGCGGCCATAGCTTTCATTGATATACGCATAAAGGGGGAAAAAAAAGAAGGAAAGAGACACACACGTGACGTACACGCAATCGTATAGCGAATTCGATTGCTTGCACTCGACTAGTGCGCACTAACAATAAGACTTGTTTGTAATCAATTTTTATATTTAAGCATCGTCTTAAATACCTCTTGAAATACTTCTTAGTCAGCAAAATGATCTATGTAGCATCCGTGCGATCATTTTTTCCGGCTGGATAGTTTTCGAACGTGTATTTAAGACGATCTTAATTATAAGAATTGAACAAACCTTAGAATGCACTCGGTGCGCACTAGTGCAAGCAACCGAATTCGCTAATACATACAATTACAGAGGGTGTCCCGGAACTAACATCATTCCTTTCGGCTGCGAATTCTTTGATCAATTTAGGCCCGAACAAAACAAAATTGCCGACAGGAGTAAGTCGTCTACAAATTGCTCAAAAGAACAGCCATGATCTTACGACACCTCACGCATGTACGTCAAATCGATACAAGTACTTACCGCGTAATTTATTAAAGCCATCGATTTTATCTTAGCGAAAGCGCCGCAAAGATTTATTAGCGTATGTACCTACAGCACGCGTGCGACCGATTGACCATTTTAGAATAGTATTTTTATACGTAATATATTATGAATGAAGGACGATGTAATTAACGATTAACGATGTTAGGTCGTATCTCCGCATAAATGAATTTATCACGATATCGTAACGCTAAATTCTAAAATATCCTCACGGAATACGATAAATGACACGCCATTCTAAGAGAAGCGATTAATTTATGAAAGTTATCGATGGCAAAATTCGCTGTTTGGACCATTTCCCTTTACGTTCTCCGCAAACGTTATATTCAAAACTTGTCGCAGCATTTACAAGCCGGAGGTGAAGCACTTATCCGATGAATAAGAACGACTTGCCGAAATTCTCTCGTAATTACGTTTAAGCATTAAGATCACACGGAATGTATTTTATTTAATTTCTTTCCATTGTTAAGATCAAACGTAGGCCGCTACTTATACAGACCTTACAGTTATTCAAAGCGGTGAAGTTTAACTTTAAGTGAGAGATAACGTGCAGGTAACTCGCGCATTAATACGCGCGCGAACGGACAGGAAAGAGATAAAACACTGAAAATCTCAAAGCCAGATAAGTTGAGACTTAGCCTGCAGATAGGAACACACACCTAGTATGACCTCCATCGCACTAACAAATGCTAACAATTGTCAGAATCAGAGAAAGGGGTGCCCCACCCTCACCCCCACCTGCCTCATCGGAATCCGCCAACGCGCATTTGAGAAACAGGTAAAGAAAAGAAAAGAAAAGAGAGAGTCAAAAGCGGCATTTCCCACACACCGAAACCCCTTTGCGAACGAGAGAGAGAGAGAGAGAGAAAAAAAAGAAAAGAAAGAAAGAAGCGCAGAAGAACAAAGCGCAATCGTTTCTGTTTGGTCCGGTGCCCTAGATAACACAGAGTTCGCCCTTTAACAATTCGACGATTCGATTATGCTGACTGTGCTTTCACGTTCTCTCTGCTTCTTTGCCTCTGACGCGATAATGAAATATCGCGCCGCCACGTAGACAGCAGTCCCTGCTTGGTAAACCTCTTAGTTTGTGTTGCACTGCTTGCCTTCGTACGCACCACGTAAATCCATCCACGTGTACATACGTGTAAACTGTAAACTATGTATCACTAACACGTTACATATGATACATCCACTCTCGTCAACAGCACCATTGTTATAGCAGTTAGCGTTATTACCCTCCTCACTATTGTCATCACATTGTCATTGTGTCATTATCGTCATTATTAGCATTGCATTACTTTAACCGCGGTGTTTGCCTTATTATTATATTACGTGTATTATTATTATTATTATTATACTGGTATTACTATTTGACTACAATAATTATTATTTTAATTTAATATTAATTTTTAGCACTATATTATTACGAAGAAAGATCGTACGTTTACATCGGTAATCGGTACTTGAGTTTCGTAGCGCTTTGTACATAACGTTGTACAAAAGAGATGCACAAAACTTACGAATTAATCGTACATACATCGGCTACGTTTAATTAAATGTATAATTTGTAATTAGATTTTCTAAAATGTACAATTTATACTTTACACAAGGCCGATCGATGTTACACATGTATATCCATAAGAAACGACCTAGGAGCCAATTGTATATATTTAAATAGCTATTTTTCACCTAAGTTAAGGCCCGTTTTATATACATTCTACTGTCCTCAGAAACTTGTCAAATAAATTATACCAGCTGAATTTTAAGATTTTTTGCAAATATTCCAGAATTTAGACTGGTGAATTTTGATTGATTTATTCTTCTCGTCCCAAAGATCGACGTGACAGCAATAATTTTAAGTAAAATTGAAATGCAATCTGTATCATATCTCAACATTTGTATATATTCCCTCCCTTAAGCCACGCACACGTTTGCGTTTTACAGCCAATGATACATGCTGATAGTATAATTTACACAGCAGTGAAACGTAATTGTTTAAAATGCAATCAATTTAGGAATACATTGTCGACAATGGAACGACATCCCACACATACTTTGTAACCCGATGTCCCATGAAATAACGAAGACATTAGTAACTTGGGTGACGAAACGTCGGGCGGTCCACGGCCGAACAATGATCTTCTTTATTTCATACTTATTGTTAGCCCCTTCGTTAACTTGTGGCTTAGTTAATAGCGAACCAAAGCATCCAAAACATTTGGACAATGCGAATGCGAATGTACTTGGATAGCGAGAAAACGCAATTCAAGGAACCCAGAACATCTTCGTTGTGCCCTAACTTCTTCCCCGCTGCGAACGCTATTCACGAGGAGACATTTCTTAACTTGTTGTTTTCGACAGGGGCACAAATCCGCTGGCGCCGGACGCGGTAGATCTAACGCAATTGAATTCCGTCAGCGAGTGGCTGGCCTCCATCAAGATGTCACGGTACGCAGAGAGCTTCGAGCATGCGGGCGTGACGACGCTGGAGGCGGCGGCGCGCGTCACCGTCCAGGAGCTCACGGCCCTCGGCATCACGCTCGTGGGACACCAGAAGAAGATCATGAACAGCGTGACGGCGTTACGGGCGCAGATGTCCGCCACCTCGCAGGGTTTCCTCGTCTAACCGCGGCCGCGACCTCAAATCCCGCGCACGGATCGTACGTAGAAATCGGCTGATCGGCACGGAACGTCGCTGCTCCATGGATCTCACGAATTCCCGCTTATTCGAGGCGCCCCGACGCGTCGCCTCCGAGGAGGAGGGAGACGACGACTCCCCCGTGTGTCATCCAGGACTCGTGATTACCTAGTCAGAGCGACGATGTCCTCGAGAGGAATATCTCTTCGCGCGCAAGCAGATCCGACAGAAGCGACACGCGATACGCCGTTCTGAACCGAGAGATTCTCGAGCACTCGTGCCGCAGACATTCCACGTTAGCGAGAGTCGAAAGGAAGTCCGTTCTTCGCGTTTGCGGCTCCTCTCTCGGCGACGAGGAGGAGCGGAAGGATTCCACGCATTCGTCATTTCTCTGAATCACGTGCAACGACTTTCACCGAATCCATAGGACGATACCGTCTATCACGAAACTTGTGCGATCTATAAGTGTCAAAGAAATCGTCGTGACGCGAGCCTCACGACAACGGGTCGTTCGAACGAAGCGCGTTTCACACGACGTCCTGAAAGATCGCGGAAGGCTCTTAACGGGATCAATGTTAAAACATACCGAAAGACTCTCCTACACGAACAACGAGCGCCAATACTCTTTCGCATTTCCTAGGCCGTTTCCGCGACCGATCTACCTAAAGATCAGACTGACGACGGAAATAAACAGGCCAGCCCTGTATCACTGCCGCGAAAACCTTTCGGTCGCTAATGAACGCTCTCCTTTTAGTTTACAGTACTTGTGTAACAGCTGTTGAATTGTATACACTGTATATTTTTCTCCGGAGACTTTCATTCAGTTTTACAGCCGAATCGTCCTTTTCTTTCTTACTGTTCTACTGCCATCGCGCTTGTGCTAGGTTTTGTAACGTTTTGTATTGAACGACCGCTCATTTTAGTACGTACCTACGGTGTAGAACATTGAACGACGAACATATCGGCCTAAATGTCGCTCGAATACGTCTGTTCCTGGCCTCTTTTCTTAAGTATACTAAAGTTTGTCCAACGGATGGACACAGCAATACGCACCGGACGTGGAAAAAAAACGATAATTAGATAGAGAACCGTGTCACGAGAGAAATGTACCAAAAAGAGAGAAAAACGGACCGCAATAGTTTCTGAGATTCCGGGCTCGATAGCGTGACAGCAATGTAGGTTCATTATTTCATGTAGCGAATGTAGCGAGTGCATTACACTATTACGCGTATGTCGCCTCGGCAATGTACACGATCGAGAGCAAGGGCGAGCGTTAGCGGGACGTCGTTTACTAACTCTTTACGCTAAAATTACGAATCACGCCTTTGCGCCTACCTATGTAAAAACGTCGTACGCGCGGCCTACGTACGCGGTATACCTTACGATTGTAACGGCGAAACGGAACGAAGCGGACATGTGCCAACGCGAGTGTGCAGGTGTCAACGTCGGCGCGAGGCTGCGCGACACCGCGGGATAAATGAGCGGAGGAACGAGAGGAACGCGTGAGTGCGAGTGCGAATGAAATTGCTGAATGAATTGTCGATGAACGCGTGACGAGAATCTGCCGCGAGACTCATTTTTCGCGCTACCATTCGTATGTACACGAGCGTGCGATCACGAAATCATTCTATACATATATATATATATATAAATTATACATATAAAGATAGCTAATGTGTTACAAATACGGCACTGCGAAAAGAGAGGGACGGGAGTGGAACTCTCGGTCGCGACAGAGGAGACCGTCCGTTCCGCCCGTTCCGGAGAACGAAGGGGCGCGACGCGGCGGTGGCGGCTTCGAGCGCGTCCCTTTATTAGCGAGCAGCGCGCTAACATATCAACATTATCGCGGAGACGCAATGCGAGCGGAAGAAGGGACACGCTCGCGGTGCGTCGTCACTCGGGTCGAAACTACTCCGTTCGATCCCTCGGCTCTTCCCTCGGCTCCTCGGCGAAATGACAAGGGGAGAATGCGAACCAGCCGGAAGAAGAGAATGTAAACGGACTGTAAGATACGCGGAACAAAATACTCACGTATACGCGAGCGACGACGCGTGCGAGGCACGCGCGTCCACGGGGTAGTTCTTTTTGATTTACACAATCCGAGGAGGGGTTCCCACGCGAAGCAACGTCCATTCCAATTGTACATGTATCCGTAATGAGGAACCGCGTCTCCCTCCCTCGGGAGACGTAAGAGAGGCCTGTGCTTCGCCGTATCTCGTTACATCCGCATTCGCAAAGACTGCGTCCCGGGTCCCGCGACACGTACTTGCCGGGATACGCACGTTGCCGGCGACTTGTCTTACGAGAGAGACCAGCGGAGCGGCATACACATTGTTGCGTACGGAAAAAATGCTGCGCGTGAGATTAAAACGGCTTCCAAGTGGGCTTTCGGCGAGCCACGGAGAGAAATTCTTTTATTTTCTAATTTAACGGTTTTAACGCTAGTAGCATAGTCGATGATGCACGTCGAGGCGACGTTGGGCCGCGACGAGTGGAAGCGAACGGCGGCGCTTTGGCAGGCGGGATTTTTCGCGCTCGATAAAATGCAAAGACAACGACGAAGCGACCGTCTCTCGCGTTTCCAGCCAATCTCTCGCCCTCTCCCTCGTTTAATCAAAGAAGAGGCGCGAGTCGCGCCTGCGGAGCGCCAGGCCGGTGATTAAAATTGCTTCGCTTTCGCCTCGAATTTTGCGATCCAACGGCGCCCCCGTGAACGAAATGTCGCTCGAAGTTATACTTCGAGCGAAGAATACCACGCGCTCTGGTATCCTTCGACTCGCCGTACTTCCTTCCGCGTGCGTATCGATAAGGAAAACGGAAGGGAAGAGCGAAAGACACTGCGGGAGGCCGCGCGGCGATGACGAAATCTCCCTTAGGAAAAACAAAAAGAGTTAAAGAAGGCTACTGGAAAACGGCGACGATTAAGAAGCAATAAGTAAATACACGCAAATGCAGATTTTTATATAGAAAATGTTAACAAATTTCAGAAAATATTAATTATCGATAGCGCTATCTTCCTAAATGTTCGTATTAAAGGTTAAACGAAAAGAAAAGGTACGACAAAGCGATGATAAGGGCGAGATCCCGGCCGAAAGGGAGGCGGACGAGAGGAGGGTCGCGGGCGCGAGGCGAATTCGCGCCGCGACTTCGATTGTAACGTGACCCTCGACAATTAATGTGTGGCAATTCGGCCGGGAACCCGCGGACGCGAGGAAAGGGTCTTAAGAACTTTCTCAAGCTGTAACTGTCTGTGTTTTAGCGACGAGTCTGCGAGTGCGACCTGAAGTTTTGCGGATGCCGATTAATTTCGATATTTAGATTTCATAGAGCTCTATCAATATTACACAGAAACACACACACGGCCACGTGTTAGGGCACGGGGGAGAGAAAGTACGCGAAACCGAGAAATGTATTAGTTGAGAAAGAGAGAGAAGGCGTAGATTACGTCGCGTAGGACTTCTCCGATTTTTCTTTCGTTCCCTCGACTCCTCCGCGGAAACGTAATTCCCAGTTTACAATTTTTTTCCTCTCCTTATGGAAAAGAACGAGATTGCGCGTTACGCTTCCGGTAAAAAAATTTTCACATAAAAACATATAAAAGTATATAATTATATATGGAATAAGTCCATGTGTTTTCTTCCTCTTCTAATCTATTTGTACGTACAGGAAAAATAAGAGAAAGAAGAATTAATGAGGATAATTTTCGCATTGTTTTCTTGATAAAAGATGAAGTTTGAGGACAAGTGAGGAAAAAATTGTCCAATAATCATGTATAAATGTAATAATCGTATCTGAAAATGTGATTATATATGACTATATAATATAGAGCATTGTATAGTCTAGGCGCAGTTTTATTTTTTGTAGAGAAAACAGTGCAGCAATTATTTTTCAAGTGAATTTTTAATTGTTCTTTCTATTATTTTTTTCTGGACGCACAAGAGAAGGGAAACATATGCGTATGGATATATTTTATATTATACAATATGAATATATACATATATATATATATATATTTGTATATATTTTTATATGAAAAATTTTTTTTTCGGGTTCCCAAATCTTTCAATCATAACTTCACGTCACGTGTTTTAGTTGTTTCGTACACGCGTAAAGTTTCATTAAAAGGAAATCGGAGAGAAGAGAGCGACAGGAAAAAGCCTGAGAAATCAAAATCGCTTCACGTTCGCCCGGATGTCCCCGTTGCGGTGAAATTTCGTTCTTATTCTCTTCAGCGCTTCTTCCTTTTCTCAATTTGCCGACGCGGGGAGAGGAATGCGAGAGCGACGAGCGGCCGAGGGAGGAAACTCGCCTCTCTCCTCTCGCTTGAATCCTGTGTAATCGATTTTAACTCTACTACTATTTATTAAAAGAAGAAGAGAAAACTTATTTATTTCTTAGAGATCTGACTAAATTGCAAAACGTTTTAATTATCTAAATAAGTTATCTATTACTATTTAGTGGCGAGGACGATATAGGGCGACGTTATTCTTCCCCTATTTTCGGAGAGTTTCCGCGAGAACTCTGTCTTGTAAAAAAGATGGCGAGAGCTACAGCTACAGTGATAAATACGTATCGAATCTGTACGCAGCTATTATATTATATTATGTTTAAGTTAAGGCGTTAATTAAATGACTTACGAGCGCGACTTGTTTTCTTTTTCTTTTCTTTTTTTTTAATTCTTACTTTTTACGATTCTCCTTACAGCGAACTCTGTCAAAGTACCTGCTTCGAAAAACGAAAATCTGCGAGGACAAGCAAAGCATTTACAGGTACCGTCCCATATATTATACATACAAAAAGAGAGAGAAAGAAAGAGACACATACCATACCAGACACACACACACACACACACAAACACACATACACACGTGCGATAATTTATATACACTCGCCGAGCTGAGTTTTCATGAAGAAAGAAAAATTGGTCAAGCGAATCACCTCCGTGTGTCTTCGATTCATTGTATAAAGGAGAATGCAAGGGGGACAGGAGAAAAAAAAGTAGCGCGCGAGCAGGGAGTTACTGTCGACAAATTTTGGAACGTGTCTAAAAACAATTTTTCCTATGGTGTTGTCAAGACGATGTTGAATGTACATAAGATATAATAAATGATATACCTTATACGATGTAAATCGCGCGGTTGATCCGTTTTTCCCCTCCGTCGTCGCATACCCAGCGTTGTTGTCAATTATTGAAACTAGCGCAACGGAGTCGGGTAGAAAATTTCGTAATATCGAATTCACGTCAATGGGGTCCGCGTCCCGACCGTTGGTTTTCGAAAATAATTAAGTTTTGGAACTTAATTTTTTGTATTAAGTTTCCACGTTCAACGTTCCGAACGCTGGCACTGCCAAGTTTAATACCAAATTTAACAGGGGATAGGCCGCTAATATGAGACAGCGGAGTTTCTGCGAAATTAATAGGCGTCGGTCCGTTGGTTCCACCGTGAATTCGACGCCCTCGGAGTGAAATGTGTTTGGTGGAAAATTGATTGTGACATCGTGTAATCGTCGCGAGGAAAGATTCGTCATTCAATTTGGACGTTGAAAAGCCACTATCTCATATTAGGATCCTATAAAAGAGGACTATCTTCCGCAAATTAATTTTGATACAAAGAATAAAAGATTAGCTCCTAATTGCCAGTGTAAAATACTAAAATTCCAAATTCTATTCGACCACAGCCGGCCGCATTTGTTAGTTTCTCTGTCAGCGCAGAAAATTTATTGCGAAAGAATGTTACCTCGGCCCAGGGTCATACGCCTCTGTGATCGAATTGGGTGAGACGCCCGCCTAGCGTGTGCTCCAGGTTCAGTGTGCAAACCCTGGCGGAAAGAAAACACAAAGTTCCAAAACTTTCAATTATTTTCGAAAACTGACGGCTGTGACGCGGTTTCGACCCCATTGACGTCGATTCGACGTTAATGCTCTCACTGGGCCCGCCATTTCTATCGAAATCAGCCGCCGCGGAAAGCTGTGAACAAAGGCATCACGTACCTCGAGTTCACGTGCAAGTACAAGTGCGTAGCGATCAAGTTGGCGAATCCTCGCGATCGATTCGTCAGGAAAGCTGGGAGATTGTCGTTTCACGCCGAGTAGGAAGGAACGAGGGACGATACTTGAAATTTCAAACTTGGCGAGCGGTGGAGGTGCGCTTTCAATTTCGTAGCGTGGACGATCGCAGCGCCGCGTAGCGGGACACCGCGGAACGTATCGGCGAGCCCTGTCGATAAAGAAGATCCCGCAGCGTCAATTTATCGCAGAAAGCAGCCCCCTCTAGCGACAAGTGAGTAGATACCAATTGTAGGTGTTCGCTGTTGTATCGACATTGACTCGCATTTTCGCCGACAGATGGCGAAAGAAGACAACCCAAATGCGCGCCACGCGTGCGTAGAAGCGTCTCGCTTCGCCGTATGTCGCTTCCTTTTCCGTTTGGGTCTGAAGAAGGTTCGTGGTATTTTCGTATAATTTGTAACATCCACGCTACGCGTTTCAATCGTAAGATGTATTAATGTCACGCGAACGCCGCAGAAATCTGCGGTGCTCGGTTGTGCGTTCCGTTTCTATATAAGTCGATTTCTCTCGCTAACGGGCTGATTTTACGTTGCAGAGCCAAGATGGTGCAGCGGCTAACCTATCGGCGACGCCTGTCGTACAACACAAAGAGCAACAGAAGGCGCATGTACGTATCCGCTGCCGAAAAGGGCAAACCTTGATTTCGGGAACTGCGTTCGCAGCACAATTTCGCATCCCCGGATGCGGGCGTCGGTCGCGGTAAACGCCTGAGAGTTTGAGGTTATGTTTTGGTCGTTCGCTCCAAGCTGCATGAAAGTCGCGTACAAGTGAAAGTAATTGGATGAACGAAATTACTGCTCTCGTCAACAACTGTCGTTATTCGGTCTGCGACTCTCTTCGGAGTGTCTGATAGTCCCGTGTCAAAGTGAATGTTTCTCTACAAGTTCTACAAGTTACACGTTATTATTGAGCACTGATTGAGGTGAATTGTTGCTTGTAGTGTTCGTACGCCGGGTGGCAAGTTAGTCTACCAATATCTGAAGAAACCCAAGAAGATCCCAAGATGTGGGCAGTGCAAGGACAAGCTCAGGGGTATCCAGCCTGCGAGACCGAAGGAGCGTTCCCGTATGTGTAGACGTAAGAAGACGGTCAAGCGCGTGTACGGCGGAGTCCTCTGTCACAAATGCGTAAAAGAAAGGTATGCACTTGACGAAAGCCCGCGTTAAAATGCGCATGTGTCGCAAATACTTTTTTGCTGGAAAATTATTTGTCCTCTAACAGGATTAATGAATAAGGATGTAGTGAAGACGTTAAGTTTCGCGTGACAAACTGTGTATAATTTTCAGGATTGTCCGTGCGTTCTTGATCGAGGAGCAGAAGATCGTCTATAAGGTTATGAAAGCACAGCAGGCTTCGGCAAAAACGAAAAAGACAGAGAAGTAGTTCTGTGCTTTTCTTATTAATTAAATAAAACTTCCGAAAATTACACCTATTGCTGATACTAGTGTAATGTCATTCGTTGTACGAAACCATATTGACTTTGTCTGCGCACGAATTCCACAACGTATTTGCATAGTAAGACACCTCTGTTGATTAAGAATCCTACAAATATAAGAAAAGTCCACAAAACGTGTCATGTGCATTGTCCGCCGTACGCAGTGAACAAAATATAGAATTATGCGTTTGTTCTCCTGTCCAGTTGCTTGGATTTCAAGAATTTTCTTGCATTTTTTTTCTTTTATTATAGTTTAACGGCTGTACAATTGTTGAATTCCGCAGACACTACTTGCGTCAATTCGGGCGTATCTTTTTTTTCCTCACAGCCATATTTTTGTTTGCGGATTTATTCCTACAGGTGCGTTCCGTTTCGCGCATAATGCATCATTTATCTTTATTTAACGAGGATAAATGATGCATTGTGTGCATCATGCGTGAAACGGAACGCACTCAGTGTCTAATCGTCAGTATGTTACTACGACAGATATTTTTAAGAACGAAGCACGCGTTGGACGCAGGTTGGTGACAGGCGCGCGAATGCGTGCGCACAGAAAGCACGTGGCGGTGGTAAACTGGCTGCGTTCGACAGGCGCACATGTGCCTCGTAAAATTGATCACGAGTAAACGCGTAATTCCGCACAATTTAAGTTTCGGATCGATTCGTCGGCTAAAATGCCAGGATATAAAATAAGAAAATAAAAATAATGATCGCCGTCCGAATGAAATTTCACGTTCGTGAAACTGCTCGTTAATTCGACGTTTTATTTAGCGAGACTGAATAAATAAGAATCTGTCCGTTTGAGAATCTGCCTGAAGAAGAAGCATCCGGTCCAGATTGGCGAGGCGGAATCGGAATCGCGTCAGCGGCACCGGACCGATGCCGCTCACGCGCCAAGGATTAACGCTCGGTTCGTGCTCGCCGTGTATGGCGATATACCGGCAAGAACGTTTGCCATTTCAGGGTGAAGGAGGAGAGAGAGCGATCCCGCGAGCGACAGGTATTGTGTTGCCGATTATGGCAAAAGGGCTGCCCGCAAAACCCGTCCCGGCGGGACCGTGGCGACTCTCGCTAGCCTCGGAGCGCCTTAACAAGTGCCTTATTTGTTGGGCACACGTATGGGCACGCATGTCCCCGGGAGGGGGGGGGGGGGGACTGGGTACGCGATATACGCGCGCTATAGTTTCCACGGTGGTACCAGCCGAGCGCCGCGTCGGCGAACGGTGAGAGCTGTATAGGGCTTGTCACCTGAGAATGCGGACGGCGCGGCGAGCTGGCGTTAAATACCTGGCGTGCTCTGTGCTGCGCCTATCGTTTACCGCGTCCTGAAAAATGTCACGGCTAGAACCCGCCGGAATTTTGTTTGCCGCTCCCGCGGCCCCGCGACGAGAGCGAACGCTCTGCGACCGAATCGAAACGGCGAACGTGCATGCGCGGTTGAACCAGCGACGACAGAAAGGGGGCTTGTGACATTTTGGCCGAAACGGAGTCGACGAATCCTTGCTCTCTATCAGTGTAAATCCAGAGTAATAAGAATAAAGACTTACTGTCGCTAAGAAATAATTAACCAATGTAGGAAGATTAATGAACGATACAACTGGCAAATTTCACTACTTAGAATTTGCCAGTTGTGTGTCGTTCATTAATTTTCCTACGTTGGTTAAATTCAGAATGTTCAAGAGAATTGTTTTAAGGAGAACTTGCTTCAAGGGAGCTCCCTCTTTAGTAGCATGAAAATTTCATATTGCGCTTATAAAACAGTTTTGTTTCTCTCGGATTTTGTACCCTTTCTGTTGTAACCGATTTCATCAATAACTTTTACTCCTTTCACATTGTATTTGGCTGATAATTCTTTGGGCTGTTTCGAAAGTCGATTATTATTCTCGAGTACGTGCGGCTGACATTAATTTTCAGGCGACGAGAATAAACGACTGAAGACAACATCTTTTCGGCGAATTAAATTTCAATATCGTCCATTAATTAATTTCAGTGGCCCTCAATATTTTTGCTAAAAGAAGTAGAGGAAGTCCTCTATTGTGAGATAGAATTCCAACTTTCCTCTAATTCTAAGTTTTGCTCGAAGAATTTATTGGTGAAATACAAACGGGACATCTCGTATATTCAAACGACTGACTGAACGTGACGGGCGAATTAAATTTCAATATCGTCCGTCAATTAATTTCAGTGGCCCTCAATATTTTTGCTAAGAGAAGTAGAGGAAAGTCCTCTATTGTGAGATAGAATTCCAACTTTCCTCTCATTCTAAATTTTGCCCGAAGAATTTATTGGTAAAATACAAACGAGACATCCCGTATATTCAAACGGCAGGCGAATTAACTCGGTTTGCGGGTGAGACGAAGGGCGAAAAGAAAAATTTAAGTGGGGAAATATTTATAACGCTTCGGCGTGATCTCGTGAGGAGCCGCGTCCTTTGTGGTGTTCGCGATCGTCGAGCGATCTTTGCGATCCCGTCGACTCTGGAACGCGACTTGACGGCGATCTCGTCGTTTCCTTTTCGAGTTAAAAATTCCTTTTGGAGTTAAAAAGTCGACTGAGAGCGGGGCGGAAACGGGATGAGGAGAGCGCGGGGAATGTCGACGATGGGTCGACGCGTAAAAAAGCAGCGCGACGAAAAGTCAGACGCCACGGGGCTAATCCGATTTCATGGGACTGTCGGGACCGACGACGCGGTGCTCTCCGATCGTGATTTCGACTTTTCCACGCGATCCTTCTCGCCGCAAAACAGCCTTCTTCGTGGCCGTATCGAGAATGATCGCTGCGGTTAGCCGACGCGGCCGCGCCGGCATTTCGTCTCGGTTCAATTGCCTCGGAATCGTCGTAACTGCACCGCAGCTGCGCGCACCAAGCGAGATCGGTACACCTACTCGCGCGCATTGCAATTTTCGATTCCCTCGGGGCGCGCCGATGCATCGCGGCTATCGAGAGCTGAAATTGTTATCCGGCACCGAGGCGGCATTTACGAGAGGGAAGGAAATAATGTTTCCTTCTCTCCATCGGACGCCGATACTTCGATTTCAATCCCGGGAAAAAGAACGTAGAGCTTTGTCTCGAATAAAATTGAATTTTTATCGGCAGCTCGATCGAACGCCACGGATTCTTTGTCCCTCAAACACGACAGGGGTGGGGAGGCTGACCGCTTAGTTTCGCGCCTCCATTTGGAATTATACAGCAATTGTCCGGTGTCACGTTTAATTGGCGGTTATGAAATGTAGCGCGAGCGTGCAGCCGAGAATAATTTGGCGTGAGACGCGCGCGCGCGCGCGCGCGAGCCGGCCTCTCTCGGAGAGGAGATGCGTCGCCACGTGATTCCTATAATTTTCTGGATCGTCTTTAGCGAAACGACAAGTGGGTAGGTGTCGTAATACGCGTGTCCCTATCATTTCGCGACATTATTATTAGATCGACGCGCTTTGCATCGCATTACGTCGCGCGTTGTCGTCACCGTTCGCGAGTAAAATCCTCCACGGCCCGAAATAATAATACGCGCGAGGTCCGTCGACGAGAAACGTGACAAATGTTTCGGTAGAGGAGAGTCCCCTATTATGAGGTAGAATCCTGATATGGGACAGCGGGATTTCTGTTAAATTAATAGGCATCGTCGGTTGATTCCACCGTGAATTTTATTGACCTCGGAGCGAAATCTGTTTAGCGGAAAATGCATCGTTAGATGGTGTAATCGTTGCGAAAATAGATTTGTGATTGAATTTTGGACGTTGAAAATTTATCTGATATAATAGAGGACCTTTCTCTGCATATAATCTAGTAAGATGTACCGTATACTTCATGTACTCTTCTTACAAAAGTATCCTTTTATATTTCGAATTGTCTTCTTGCAAAGAAGGTGCGTTGTAACGCATGCGTTTAAGTTATAGAGGAAAGTCCTCTATAGGCTTTTAATATGAGATAGCAGGCTTTCAACCTGCGTGTTCAGTCACAAATCTTTTTTCCACAGTCTAACAGTGAATTTTCCACTCAAGATTCAAGATATACTCCAAGGGCAATGGATTCATGACGAGATCAACAGATGATGCCTATTAATTCAGCAGAAACCCTGCTATCTCGTATTGGGAGCCTATAATAGGGGACTTTCCCCCATATACACTTTTTTACGTTACAACGCGCAGTTGCATATAACATTAATTAATTGTATGATGTCATATAATTGTGATTATACAGGTGCACCCCACTTTACGCAATTATGTAAAGCGCAGTGCGCGAGATTAGGAACAATTTGTGCCACGAAAGTGTTTCAGAAGACGCGCGTTAGCGTATGATTCCTATAATTTCCATCGCTCGTGTTTGACAAAATAACAAGTGGGTGGGTGTCGGTTTTCACACCCGCGGCACGGCGGGGCCTCTCCGGAGAATGTAAAAAAGGGTGGCATACGAAACCGGTCCCGATGAATCTTTGTTATACCGAAGCCCCCACATATCGCCCGCCGCCTTCTGCGTGTGCCTATAAGGACGAAAGAGCCCTAGCCCTCAGGAGCGTACACCGCTGCGAAGAACCTCTTCACACTTACAATCGGATCTTGTATTCAAGACCGTCTTGAATTTATCTAAAGACGCCGTGTGGAACATTTTGTTGGCTACGGAGTATCTAAAGTTGACGGTCTTGAATATCAGATCTGACTACGAATACTGGCCTTACAGTTGCTTATCGTTTGATATTCGAACTTTGAATAAATACCGAATATATTGCGATTGTTTTAATGAGAGAAAAAATTCGGAGTCGACACGTCATCGAATTTATTTTAATAAGGCATCGCTTTATCCTGTTCTTGATATTATCGGGCGTATTCCGTTGCGAGTACAAATGGTTATTAACTGGCGTTTCATCTCATATAAAATGGCCTATTCAACGGCGGCGAATTAAATATAGCCATTACGTCGAATTCGCGTGTTGAACCGAGCGCCAAACGCGGCGAGTCCTCGTTCATTAGCTTAAGCACCCGATTACATCATGCCCGATTAAAATCGAATGTAAATCGTAGCTCTCGCGAGTCGAGGACGTCTCGTCGTAACGGCTGGTCATGCTCGGGCGTAAGCGTTGATTTTTGAATGAAATTGAATGTCGAAAAACCAATCGAGAGAGATCATTCGGTCTCTTACA